TTGGTTTTTCATGGGGAAGAACGATGAGGTATTTGGGAAAATGTTCCAAACATTGAGTGACTAATATATATATATATATATAGAGAGAGAGAGAGAGAGTAAAATACATTTACAGGTACCTTTTAAGATAGTTTTAAAAAGTTCAAGATTGAAGAATATATGTATATATTAATATTTCTTCAATCTTGAAATTTTTGTTTGAGATAAAAAATAAAATTATATAAAACTTAATGCTAAAAAGTAAGGAAAGAAATCAAATACTTGCCTTTCATCATCTCACTCTCCCCACCTATATATATATATATATATATATATATATATATATATATATACATATACGGGATAACAATATATAGATTATTATATATCAAGAACAGATTCAAAGGAAAAGATGTATGACAAATTGGAAAAACTTTTATGATGCATTTCATCTGTTAGGAATTCATCAGACTTGGTTTGTTGACTCTATTATGACTACACATGCGCATGAAGGAGTTTCAATACATATTTTTTGTGAAGGCCAAGACCAAACTAAAGTTGTTGCATGACAAAGATGAAAACTAGATACTAGATGAAAAAGAAAATGAAAAACTGGTTTCAAATTCTTTTTTAAAGTCTAACAATCAGGCCTTAGCCCCACATGCAAATTGCAGCAACACAATCTTCCTATGTAATTCTTCTCACATTATGCCTTTCTACAGCATTAAGTAAAACAATATCAATTGTCTACCTACTGACACCAGCAGTCGGTGTTTCAACTCAAGCCAAAGCCAAATTTTTAAATGCTGATTTTCAGAGTGGGCAGAAAGATAAACCCCACTTACTTTGGAGAATGGCATAAGATTAAAAAAATTAAAATTAAAAATTCTCACTGTTATTTCATTTTAATGTTTTATTTTTTTAAATCCCAGGTTGAGTATTTTAAAACATTAATAATAAAAAAATATAAATTAAATTACCTCCATTACATATTCTTAATGTCTTTCTTAATCAGTTTAATAACAACATTAAGAAATTGATCTGTAAATTTGAGAGGATTAAAATAGACATATCTAGATTATCCAACCAAACATAAATGTGATTGAATGAAGATATGATATATATATAAAAGTTAATGGTCAAAGTTGAATTATATATATATATATATATATATATATATATATATATAAAGTTAATAGTCAGAGTTGAATTAGACCAGGAAACAATAGTATTAAAATATGTAAATTATTATATATCAAGAACAGTTTTGAAAAAAATATGCATAATAAATTAGGACTTCATTGGACGAACTTGGTTTGTTGACACTGTTATGAGTACACATGCGCATGAAGGAGAAATGCTGGGAGTTTGAATATATATTTTTTGCAAAGGCCAAGACCAAACAAAAGTTGTTGCATGACAAAGATGGGTTTTCAATAATAGATGAAAAAGAAAATGAAGACCAGGTTTCGAATGCTGATTTTAAAGTCTAACAAGCAGGCCTTAACCGCACATGCAAATCTGCAGCAACACAATCTTCCTCCCCAATTCCCCTTTCAATATGCCTTTCTACGGCATTAAGTAAAACAATGTCAAATTCCTATCCACCAACGCTATATATGTATTTATATATCAAGAACAGTTTTGAAAGAAAAGATGCATGACAAATTGGAAACAGTTTTTGTGACATGTTTCATCCGTTAGGACTTTATTACATTGTTGTGACTACACATGCACACAAACAAGAGATGCCAAGAGTTTCAAAATTTGGAAAGAATTTTTTTTTTTTTTTTTTTGGATACAATCTGACTAAATAGTCACAACAATATAAACAAACCAGTCCAGTGAAATCCTAACGGATAAAATGCATGACAAATGAATACATGTCCGCGTATTGTACAACAGTGAGGATCTGAGTACACAGCAACAGGAATATTTGTTGACACTTTTCACCATTGTCCTTCATCTCTTAGCTAGTCAATATGACTGATTTCAAAATTTCTGATACCACTCTGGTACAAATATTTCTAGTTTTTTTCTATCCAGGGCAACTCGCTCATAGTATGAGGTACATTGAGAGATGGATGATTTTATTTTTGTTTTATAATTGGGTGTAAAACCAAAGGCACATCAACTACAAACAAGATGACAGTTTCTACACACTCTGTATCCAGAAAAGAAAACCCTTGTTCAAACACAAGAAAAATTAAATAAAAGGCTTAATCACAGTACCTTGTCTGTCACCTTTAATGAAACATATATAAATGTAGGATTGCTGCCACACACACACACACACACACACACACACACACACACACAATGAAGGACAGCACAAGTCGTCATTCAAATTTCACACACTTATAGTCTTCAGGCAATGAGAACACCTGACTATAAATTGTTCCCGTTACCTGAAGATCTTGAGAGTCTGAAATTTGAGTGGCAATTCGAGTCGTCCTTTATTAAGTGCTGATGTTGTGATAGTTTTCTTGTCTCAGGTATTTGGTCATCTGGTAAGTTTTCTGTTGGTCGCATCAACATCAGTGTTTTTAATATATATGTATTCCTATTATATTATGATTATGCTCCATCCCCAAAGTTTGAATAATACTACAAACATTACTAGTGTGTGTGAATAGTTTATGAAGCATTTTGGTGAAAATAAAAAATAAAAGCTATATGTCTAGATATGAATGACTATAACTGCGTAGCCTTCATAGCCTAATTAATATGATAGCCATTACAGAAAGTCAAACTTTTGAGTCCTGCAGGAAGTAAATAATTGCAATCCATGCTGTTGACCAATGACAATAGAATGATGATATGGAAGCTGCAATAAAATGTAACAGAAATTAAAAAAGAAGAAAATAAGATGATGATGGTGAATAGGATGAGGATAAAGAAGAAAGAAAACGCAGAGGTGAATAATAATAATAATAATAATGATGATGATGGGAAGAAGAAGATGATGGTGAATAGGATGGAGAAGTATAAAAAGAAGATGAGGATAAAGAAGAAGGAAAAGGCAGAGGTGAATAATAATAATAATAATAATAATAATAATGGGAAGAAGAAGATGATGGTGAATAGGATGGAGAAGTAGAAAATGAAGAAGATGAGGATAAAGAAGAAGGAAAAGGCAGAGGGGAATAATAATAATAATAATAATAATAATAATAATAATAATAATGGGAAGAAGATGATGGTGAATAGGATGGAGAAGTAGAAAATGAAGAAGATGAGGATAAAGAAGAAGGAAAAGGCAGAGGGGAATAATAATAATAATAATAATAATAAAAATGGGAAGAAGAGGATGATGTGGAATAGGACAGAGAAGTAGAAAAAGAAGAAGATGAGGATAAATAAGAAGGAAAAGGCAGAGGGGAATAATAATAATAATGGGAAGATGATGGTGAATATAATGGTGAAGTAGAAAATGAAGAAGATGAGGATAAAGAAGGATAAGGCAGAGGTGAATAATAATAATAATAATCTCCTCCTCCTCCAAACAGTTCTCCTCAGGTTTTCTTTCTCCTAGATTGGTTTCACTTGTCATGGCAATAACTGTTACACTATCTTCACACACACACACACACACACTTATATATATATATATATATATATATATATATATATATATAGTGAGTGTGTAGTTTGGGATTTTTTCATTTGGTTCTCTTTTATCCATGAGTAAAAGACTAGTTCCATTGTTGACTAAAATTCCTGCATTTTACTGAGCTTATTCTTGTCTGGTCTGCATTAACACCAACCCTACCTGTGTCTCCTCTATTCCTCATCTCCTCTGTCACCATCACCAACATGCATCATATGTTAAAACTTGAGCAAGGTTTGAATAAACAAAAAGAGCCAAGTATAGGAATTAATAGGGCAGGGTGAGGAGGCAAATCTTGGTTTTTTTTTTTTTATTTCTTATTTTATGAACTTTTATTTTATTGACTGGTCATATATACTGATTGACATGCACTGTGGGTGTGCCATTCTCTCTCTCTCTCTCTCTCTGTTTTTTGCACAATTTTTCCCATTCTTCTTTGTGATTTTTTTCACTCTTAATCTTATCTTTACTTTTACTTTTTCATTCAATATGTTGATTGCTTATTTTTTTGTTTCTTTTTTTTTCTCTTTCTAGTTACCTTTTCTTTCTTTTGTTCTTTTTTCTTCTTTCTTTTTCTCCATTTGTTCTTTTTTATTCTTTCTCCTCTCTTTCTTTTCTTTCTTTTGTTTCGTTTTTCCTTTTTTTTCTATTTTCTTTCTTTATCTCATTTACTTTTTACCTCTTTCTTTTTCTTTAGCACTTTTCATCTTTCTTTCTTCTTTTTTCATTTTTTGTCTTAAATTTTCCCTCCTTTCTTTTTTCTTATTTGATTTTCCATTCTTTTGTCTTCTGTCATTTTCCATTTTTCTTCATTTTTTTTTTCTTTCTTTTACTTTTTTTCATCTTTCTTTCTTTCTTTAATTTTCTCTTCCTCTTTGTTTTAACTCTTTTTTTCCTCTTTTTTATTTCTTTTTCCTCATTTATTTCATTTTCCTTTTTTCTTATTTCATTTTCCTTATTTCTTTTTCTTTCTTGCTTTTTCTTCTTTCTTTTTCTTCTTTCTTTCTTTTTTCCCCCTTATTTCTTTTCCATCTTTCCTTCTTTTACCTCCTTCCTTCTGCTTCCTTTTTCATTTTTGCTATCTCTTCTATACCAGTTTCTTCTTGACTTCAAAATGCAATTTGCAACAAATTTTCATAAAATTCATTCTGAATGTTTTTCTTAGTTTTTCCAACTTTTAAAATTTTGCCATTTTATTGAATCACTGACTTCTGCTTCTCCCACTTTTCTAAAAGAACCTAGACTCAAGGAAGAAAACCTGTCCCTCATGGGGAGTGGGTGTAAAAAAAAAAAAAAAAAAAGAAAAAAAACTTTGATTTCTCTTCAAAATAGATGTTTCCATTTCCTCCATCAATTTTTTTTCTTGCGTTCATATCTAATGTAGTTGATTAAATTTCAGATAAATGTATTTATGCACTTCCCTATTAAGGCAAGTTTTTTTTTTTTTTCTTTTCTTTGGGTGGATAATTTCATTTGTGTTTTCTCTATCATTTTCTTTTTCTCTTTCTTTACTCATTACCTTTTTCTCTCTTTTTTTTTTTTTCTTTTCTTGATTTTCATTATCACTACTCATATTTTCTGTAAGTTTTCTTTTTCTCTTCCTGTTTCTTTCCCTACTTTTCTTTCTTTCCTTTTTCATCTATCCCTGTTTTTTTCATTTTTTTCTTTTTTTTACTGAATTTTCTTTCTATTTTTTCATTCACCCTCTTTTTTTACCTCCATTATCATTTCTTTCTTTCTTTTTTGCATTATAAGCGTTTATTAATTTTTTTTCATTCATCTCCTTTTTTTTCCCTTTAAAGGACTTTATTTCTTTCGTTTCATTCATTCCCTCTTTTTCCCATCAGAGACATTTCTTTCTTTTTATTCATTCATCCTCTCTTTTTTCATGAGAAGCATTTATTTAATTTCTTTTCATTTATCTCCTTTTTTCCTTTTATAGGACAATTTCTTTCTTTATTTGTTTTTCTTTCTTTTTTCTTTCCTTCTTTCTTTCCTTCTTTTTCTCTTTCTTCCTTTTCATTCATCTCCTTTTTTCCTTTTATTGGAAAATTTCTTTATTTGTTTTTCTTTCTTTTTTCTTTCCTTCTTTTTCTCTTTCCCTTTCTTTCTTTCTTTGTTTTCATTCATCCTCTCTTTTTTTCCATTATATGCATTTCTTTCTTTTCATTCATCATCTCCATTTTCTTTATAGACCTTTCTTTCTTTCATTCTTTTCATTCATTGTCATTGTCTCCTTTTTCTACATTATAAACATTTCCTTCCTTCCTTCTTTCTTTCTTTCCTTCCTTCCTTCATTCTTTCACTTTTTTATCTCATTTTGTTTCATCCTCTTTTTTTCCCACTCTTTTCTTCTTTCTATCCTCATTCATTTGTGTTGTTCTTTGATTTCCTTTTCTCTCTAATCCTCTCTCTATCTTTCTTCGGTTTAGTTTGGTTCACCTCAATTTTTGGCCACCTCAGCAGAAATGGATAATTTGGATGCAGTGTGGGGTCCCCATCCTGTCATACCTCTCTAAGCCCTGTCACTTCATCATATAAGATGTTCCTGCCCACCAGCAAATACTCTTTTTCTGAATGATGATTGTACCCAATTCACAAATTATTACACTGGAAATTAATTTGAAAATGCTGTAGCTTCTCTAGGCAAAAAACTGTCACAAGGGAGAAAATGAAAAGCGAAGAGAAAAAAATAGTAAAAGCAAAGAAAAAAAAATAATCATAAAAACAAAAAATCAAGAAAACAGGCAAAAAAAAAAATACAAAAAATAAAGAGAAAAATAACAGTAATGAAATCATGATGGAGAAAAATAAAATAATATAGTCCCCCGTTGATATCAACATCATAATAACAATACTAATAGTAAAAATAATGAAAAGACTGAAGGTAAGACTATTAATAATTGTGAAAATGAAAACTAACAGTAGGAAGGGAAATTATTAATAAAAATTGCAATGCATATAATCCTACTAGTAATACAAATAGTAAAAATAAAAACCGCCAAAGATAAAATGAATTGCAATTAGACTACTAATAACTACAATGAATACTATGACTAATAATGGCAATGAAAATAATTATCCTTCTCCTAAGAATAATAATATAAAAAAAATATAAAACTAATAAGAAAGATGGCTTCTTTCAGCTGGTTAATTTAATTCAGTATTAATCTTTGTTAATTTTGAAATTTTCTTATGGGATAAGAATCTAAATGAATTAATAGAAAGATAGACTTTAGAGTCAGAATTGGTTTACACTAAAGTTCTAAAGGGAATCAGAAAAGATAGACACATGTCTGGTTCACAAGTTGAGTCAAAAAGGTAGACACAGTCTCAATTTATGCTTGAGTCTTAATGGTAGACAAAAGTCTGATTTATGCTAGTGTCAAAAATCTTCAGAGATAGGTCTAGTTTGCACTACAGTCAAATAGGTAGGCACATGTCCAGTTCACAAGTTGAGTCAAAAAGGGAGACACAAGTTCAGTTTACACTAATGGTAGACAAAGATCCAGTTTACACTAGAGTCAAAAAGGTTAAGATAGTTATTGTTAACATAAACATTTGACAGCTAACGAAGTCAAAATCCCAAAATAACTGATACTCTTTTGGCAATTTAACTTTAGAGCACAAATTTATGTATTTTAATTCTAAGTGAAACCATGGTAGTGTGTGGTAATATACAGTATTTTTACTTCTTTTTATTGTATTGGCTTGGTATGCATGTCTGTTTTTTCAAGGCAGCTGCATTGAGCATTTTAGTATATGTACATTTTTTTTTGACACAGTAGTTTTTCCATCCTTTTTAAACATATATAAATATACATACATACATACATACATACATACATATATATATATATATATATATATATATATATATATATATATATATGAGAAAATTTATGAGGAATAAGGTTGTCTTTGTTGCTGTTGTTTTGCCATTGTCTGGATTGTGCTGTCTGGTGCAATTCTCTTTTTTTTTTTCTTTTTTTTTTTTTAAATGAATAAGAGAAAAAAGATGAGTCCAAAACCCCAGGATTTTGAGAGAAAATGTGATTAAGATTGAAACAAAACCCAACGGATAAAAAAAAGTAAAAAAAGACTCATAATATTGTATCATACCCTCAAAATCTGTTTTTCACCCCTCACTCAACCATGATAGGGAGGGGAAAAAAAAAGGAAAAAAATTACCTTAAAATTTCTTGTGTTAGCCTGGAAGTTGTCAATAAGGGTTCAGGTTCAGCCTGAAACTATTAGACATTCCTTGTTTTTTGTCTCTTTCTTTCATCACTTTATGTCTATTATTATTATTAGTAGTAGTTGTCATAGTAGTAGTATTAGTAATAGAAGTTGGAGACAAAGAAGATGATTTTACTTTTTATATCTTATTTATTGTTTCATCCTGCTCTGACGATTGGACACAGCTTCATTCCAATTATTGACCCAGAATTCACCAAGCATTATTGCATCTGATTGTAATACACAATGATAGACCAGATATTCAGTTGAAACACTTTATCAGGGAAGTGTGTGATTGCTGGTTCAATATCAGCTGTAAACTTAATTTACCTTGGGAAAGAATCAATTTGGCTTTTAAAACTATCGCAAAAGACTTAGCAAAATTACTGCTATTAAGTTCCTATCAATGCAAACCAATTTTCCTCACTAGTGCCAGAACCTTTCCCAACTGATACTGACAGTCACCATTTTCTTGGTGTTGCAATTAAGATTAATTTTCCATGGCTTATCAATCCTTTGCAGGTTATTTAAAGCCAGAAAATATTTTTAGATTCTAATTTTTTTTTTTTTTTTTTTTTTTTATAATAATGATTTAGTGATACAAGTCTTACTAATTAACCCATAGCTGGGGTGATGAGAGGTGGATTCATGCCTAATCAGAATTGTATATACAAACAAGAAATTATAAGGTGGATATAAAGTGGGGGATCAATTCTATATTACAATCAATATATAAACTGATCTCTCATTTTGTGACCTCGTTAGTTTCTATACACTTATATTCCAGAGAATGTAAATAAATCTAAAAGATGTGCCTGTGTACCTAGTCAGTATTTGATTGATTGATCAATTGATTCATTTTCCATGACTTATCAATCCTTTGCAGGTTAGTTAAATCAAGAAAATAGTTTTAGATTCTAAATTTTTTTCTGAGATAAATTAATTAACCCATAGCTGGGGGAGGAAGAGGTGGATTCATACCTTTCTCAAGTGTATTTGTGCATAAGTGAATATAACAAACCCAATGGGACTTGGAACTCAGCACTCCGATTAACAATTCTGAGTCATTATCCGCTAAACTAACTACACATCCAAGCTTCCAGCTCCTGGTATTCTCAAGCAGTCACCCATCTAAGCAGTGAGAAGGCTCAATGTTGCTTAACTTTGATTATAATTAAGTTATTCATAGGCAACAAATGCAGTCAGTTTCAATACTGACATGCCATTACAATTTTGAAATTGATGTTTTAACATCTCTTGTGCTGGGTATAATATTTACAATAAAGTCAATTTGTCAGCATATATATATATATATATATATATATACAAAATTATATTTACTAGTTTGGTATCTATCTTTTCATTGATAACAAGATGAGCAAATTTGAAATCTAAATTATTTGTCCAATTAAAATATATATATATCAGCACACTGGAAAAGTTTGTGCCCAGGTTTCATTGTTAATATAAAATGACTGGAACTTGACACTAGTGTTTGTTTTGGTCCTAATTTCTGGTGTGTTCTAGATTGAAACCTTACATTATTCAGTTGTGAATCAAACTTTATTGAATGTTCACATTTTATCCACAAAATGCCTTAAAGATAGAGGATGTGTTCAATTTTGTCTCCTCCTACACTAAATTTATTATAATTAGTCTATATACCGATGTGGTTAGTATTTATCAATTCCCTATCCTGAATTTTATTATAATTGGTCTATACACTGATGTATTTGAAGTGTTTAGAATTTATCAATTCCCCATCCTGAACTTTTTTGATGGATTCAGGGTATGTGCCTTATGACTCTTGTTCCAATTCTAGATTGTAGTTTCTATTCAAGAAAGGTTTATCTCAAGTTCTACTACTTAAAACATTTGATAGAGAATTCATTTGTCTGAAGCCATTTTTATTCATTGACCTGATAAAGTTTCTGTTGAAGGATTGTCGTCTTTAACATTTAGAGGATTAATTTGTTTGAAGCTATTACAAAGGCACCCCTAGCAGAACTTATCCTGTGTTTAACTTCCTTATCTCCTCTACGGAATTTCTCATAAATGATCCATATGCTTACATTTTGATGCTTTATTATTTACAATTATCTGCTTCATTATGTCATTATTTTCTCTTCAAGTTACATGTGCTAATCATTTTAGTTGTTGCTGCTGTTGGAAGTCTTCAAGTGGTTTTTGTTATTTGGTATTGCTCTTTATAATTTTATAGCACCAGTCCATAGGGTCTGGTGAATGATGATGATCTTTAAGGATTTATTCAATTTAAGCAATTTTTAATCATTAATCTAAGAAAATGGTTGCATATAGCTGATAGTTTAGACATTTCTAAACAAGTTGGATGCCATACAAGGTATTGATATAAGAGTCTTGATCTGATGAGTCTATTTAAAAACAGGATTCTAGTTTTTTAGGTTAATATTTTGATTTTCTATCATCTTAGGATGCTGGACAAAACTCCCTGCCCCCGCACTATTCAATTTCCTTTTCTCCTACACTAATTTTATTATAATTCGTCTATACACCAATATGGTTATAATTTATCTCTTCCTCATCCTGAATTTTTGCAATCAATTCAGGTTATGTGCCGCACGACTCTTGTTCCAATTTCAGATCATAGTTTCTGTTCTGGAAAGTTCTACTTCTTGGAACATTTGGTATAGAATTCATTTGTCTGAAGCCATTTTTAATCATTGATCTGAGAAAATGGTTGTATATAGATGACAGTTTAGACATTTTTGAAGATATATAGCAGGAGGCTTTTGCTTTTGGTCATGTGGAAAGTCACCATCTTGGTTACAGCATTATTTTCCCTTCCACTTACATGTTCTAGTATTTTTGCTTGTTGTACATTAATTTCCTTCTTTTACCTGAATTTGGGAGATTATATATATTTCATTGAATAATATAGAAATATTATGTCTATTTATTTTTATACTGATCCTTTCCAGATCTCTAATTAGTTTCTTGATGTTAAGATGAAATTTAACAAGGAAGGTGCCATAGTTTTATTTCTACCCAAGTACATTTGATCTCCTCCATGATCCTCCTCAGGTAAATTACAAAGACAAACTTAGTATAACTGATAAAATCTGCATTTTGTTGTGATGGCAATTTTTTCCAAAATACAAGTAGACGCTCTGTTATAATTATTTTAAAATTTAAAATTGATCCGATGTGGCTATGGAATTTTTTGAAAAATAAGCATCCCAGTATTATGGAGCTGAC